TGATTAGATCCACTAGATGTCCCTGCTGTATACAGCTGGTTAGATCCACTAGATGTCCCTGCTGTATACAGCTGGTTAGAAGACACTAGATGTCCCTGCTGTATACAGCTGCACAGTGTGTTGCTACGTGTGTGTGTGTGTGTGTGTGTGTGCGCGCGTGTGTGTTTGTGTGTGTGTGGTTATGTAATCGTCCCCCTGCAGAGTCAGTCTGGGCCAGACAACACACCTGTCACACACTGCACTGTGGGAGGGGTGCTGCAGTATAAAGGCAGTCAGCAGCTCTCTCACACACACACACACACACACACACACACACACACACACACACACACACACACACACACACACACACACACACACACACACACACAGAGAGAGAGAGAGATCAGCAGCAGCATAAGATGGAACACACGCTGTCTGCATCTTAAAGACCACAGTGTGTGTATGTATATGTACATATTTAAAGTACCAGTCAAAAGTTTGGACACACCTACTCAAGGGTTTTTCTTTATTTGAACTATTTTCTACATTGCAGAATAATAGTCAAGACATCAAAACTATGAAATAACACATATGGAATCATGTAGTAACCAAAAAAGTGTTAAACAAATCAAAATATATTTTATATTTGAGATTCTTCAAATAGCCACCCTTTGCCTTGATGACAGCTTTGCACACTCTTGGAATTCTCTCAACCAGCTTCATGAGGTAGTCACCTGGAATGCATTTCAATTAACAGGTATGCCTTCTTAAAAGTACATTTGTGGAATTGATTTCCTTCTGAATGCGTTTGAGCCAATCAGTTGTGTTGTGACAAGGTGTGTGTGGGGGGGGGTATACAGAAGATAGCCCTATTTGGTAAAAGACCAAGTCCATATTATGGCAAGAACAGCTTAAATAAGCAAAGAGAAATGAGTCCATCATTACTTTAAGACATGGTCAGTCAATCCGGAAACTTTAAAAGTTTATTCAAGTGCAGTCGCAAAAACCATCAAGAGCTATGATGAAACTGGCTCATGAGGACCACCACAGGAAAGGAAGACCCAGAGTTACCTCTGCTGCAGAGGATAAGTTCATTAGAGTTACCAGCCTCAGAAATTGCAGCCCAAATAAATGCTTCACAGTGTTCAAGTAACAGACACATCTCAACATCAACTATTCAGAGGGGACTGTGTGAATCAGGCCTTCATGGTCGAATTGCTGCAAAGAAACCACTATTAAAGGACACCAATAAGAAGAAGAGACCTGTTTGGGCCAAGAAACACGAGCAATGGACATTAGACCGGTGGAAAAGCATGGAGGAGGTGTTATGGTGTGGGGGTGCTTTGCTGGTGACACTGTCTGTGATTTATTTAGAATTCAAGGCACACTTAACCAGCATGGTTAACACAGCATTCTACAGTGATACGCCATTCCATCTGGTTTGGGCTTAGTGGGACTATCATTTGTTTTTCAGCAGGACAATGACCCAACACACCTCCAGGCTGTGTAAGGGCTATTTTACCAAGAAGGAGAGTGATGAGTGCTGCATCAGATGACCTGGCCTCCACAATCACCCGACCTCAACCCAATTGAGATGGTTTGGGATGAGTCGGACCGCAGAGTGAAGGAAAAGCAGCCAACAAGTGCTCAGCATATGTGGGAACTCCTTCAAGACTGTTGGAAAAGCATTCCAGGTGAAGCTGGTTGAGAGAATGCCAAGAGTGTGCAAAGCTGTCATCAAGGCAAAGGGTGGCTATTTGAAGAATCTCAAATATAAAATATATTTTGATTTGTTTAACACTTTTTTGTTTACTACATGATTCCATATGTGTTATTTCACAGTTTTGACGTCTTCACTGTTATTCTACAATGTAAAAAATAGTAAAAATAAAGAAAAACCCTTGAATGAGTAGGTGTGTCCAAACTTTTGACTGGTAGTGTATGTGTATGTGTGTGTGTGTGTGTGTGTGTGTGTGTGTTTGTGTGTGAGCTGCTGTGAAACAGTGAATCACTGACTGCTCTCTTAAATCAATGAAGCCAAGACACACACAATTTGTAAGTCGCTCTGGATAAGAGCGTCTGCTAAATGACGTAAATGTAAATGTAAATGTAAGACAGACAGACTGAGAACAGTACGCTTGAGAAGGCGAGGTGTGTGTGTGTGAGTGTGTGTGCCTGTGTGTGTGTGAGTGTGAGTGTCGGTGTGTCTGTGTGTGTGAGTGTGTGTGTGTGTGTGTGTGTGTGTGTGGTGGTGTGTGTGTGTTGTGTGTGTGTGTGTGGGTGGGTGTGTGTGTTTGTGTGTGTGTGTGTTTGTGTGTGTGTGGTGTGTGTGTGTGAGTGTTTGTGTCTGTGTGTGTGTGAGTGTGAGTGTGTCTGTGTGTGTGTGTACCATACCTACAGTCCTCGCTCTTTTGTCTGCTGATGACAGATTGAAGCACTCTTGGGTCCCTGTGTCAGGTTTATAATACGTCTCAATGTCTATGGAGAACTTCTTCTCTAAAACGACGGACAGGTAATACCCTGGAGAGAAAGAAAAGGAAGAGAGGGAGAGCGGGAGAGAGGAGAGGGGAGCGGGAGAGAGGGGTGAGGGAGAGGGAGGAGGGGAGGGGAGAAAGGGAGAGGAGAGAGGGGAAGAGAGGAGAGAGAGAGGGAGAGAGAGAGGGAGAGTGGGAGAGGGAGAGAGTGATTAGTTAATGTAGAGCGTATATCTAGAGAGCGGGAGCTAGTTTCGGGGAGGAAGGGAGAGAGGAGAGTGGGAGAGAGGGAGAGTGGAGAGAGGGAGAGGAGTGGGAATGGGGGGGTTAGGAGCAGTAGAAAGAGGGAAGAGGAGGGGGTTAGGAGCATGTCTCTTTCACATCTTGTCCTTGTGTAGGGGTGCAGGGTAGGGGTGTAGGATAGGAGTGTAGGGTAGGGGTGTAAGGTCACAAAGTGATATGTGTACTGATGTAAGGGTGTGTGTACTGATGTAAGGGTGTGTGTACTGATGTAAGGGTTTGGTAATGTGACTGATTAAGGGTGCTGTGTACTGATGTAAGGGGGTACTGATGTAGGGCTGTGTATTGTTAAGGGTGATGTGTGTATTGATGTAAGGGTGTGTGTACTGATGTAAGGGTGTGTGTATTGATGTAAGGGTGTGTGTACTGATGGAAGGGTGTGTGTACTGATGTAAGGGTGTGTGTACTGATGTAAGGGTGTGGTATTGTGTATTGTGTGTGGGGGGTGGTGGTACTGATGGTAAGGGTCGTGTGTATTGATGTAAGGGTGTTGTGTTTGATGGTCAGGGTTTTGTTGTACTGATGTAAGGGGTGTGTATTGATGTAAGGGTGTGTGTATGATGTAAGGGTGAGTGTACTGATGTAAGGGTTGTGTGTACTGATGTAAGTGGTGTTTTGTACTGATGTAAGGGGTGTGTGTACTGATGTAAGGGTGTGTGTACTTGATGTAAGGTGTTTGTGTACGATGTAGGGTTGGGGTGTATGATGTAAGGTGTGTGTCTGATGTACGTTTTTATTGATGTAAGGGTGTGTGTGTACTTGATGTAAGGGTGTGTATGATGTAAGGGTGTGTGTACTGATGTAAGGGTGTGTGTATTGATGTAAGGGTGTGTGTACTGATGTAAGGGTGTGTGTATTGATGTAAGGGTTTGTGTACTGATGTAAGGGTGTGTGTACTGATGTAAGGGTGTGTGTACTGATGTAAGGGTGTGTGTTTGATGTAAGGGTGTGTATTGATGTAAGGGTGTGTGTACTGATGTAAGGGTGTGTGTACTGATGTAAGGGTGTGTGTATTGATGTAAGGTTTTGTGTACTGATGGTAAGGGTGTGGTATGATGTAAGGGTTGTGTTGTTGATGGGAAGGGTTGTTGTGTTTGACTTAAGGGTTTGTGTACTGATGTAAGGTTGTGTGTACTGATGTAAGGGTTGTTGTATGATGTAAGGGGTGGTGTGTACTGATGTAAGGGTGTGTGTATGATGTAAGGGTGTGTGTATTGATGTAAGGGGTGTGTGTACTGATGTAAGGTTGTGTGTATGATGTAGGGTTTGTGTACTGATGTAGGTGTGTGTCTGATGTAGGGTGTGTGTACTGATGTAAGGGTGTGTGTACTGATGTAAGGGTGTGTGTATTGATGTAAGGGTTTGTGTACTGATGTAAGGGTGTGTGTACTGATGTAAGGGTGTGTGTATTGATGTAAGGGTGTGTGTACTGATGTAAGGGTTGTGTGTATTGATGTAAGGGTGTGTGTACTGATGTAAGGGTGTGTGTATTGATGTAAGGGTTGTGTGTACTGATGTAAGGGTTTGTGTATTGATGTAAGGGTGTGTTTATTGATGTAAGGGTGTGTGTACTGATGTAGGGTGTGTGTATTGATGTAAGGGTGTGTGTATTGATGTAAGGGTGTGTGTACTGATGTAAGGGTGTGTGTACTGATGTAAGGGTGTGTGTACTGATGTAAGGGTGTGTGTATTGATGTAAGGGTGTGTGTACTGATGTAAGGGTGTGTGTACTGATGTAAGGGTGTGTGTATTGATGTAAGGGTGTGTGTACTGAGTAAGGGTGTGTGTACTTGATGTAAGGGTGTTGTGTATTGATTTTAAGGGTTGTGTTACTTTATGTAGGGTGTGTGTACTGATGTAGGGTGTGTGTACTTTATGTAAGGGTTTTGTGTATTGATTTTAAGGGTGTGGTGTTGATGTAAGGGTGTGTGTACTGATGTAAGGGTGTGTGTACTGATGTAAGGGTGTGTGTACTGATGTAAGGGTGTGTGTACTGATGTAGGGTGTGTGTACTGATGTAAGGGTGTGTGTACTGATGTAAGGGTGTGTGTACTGATGTAAGGGTTGTGTGTACTGATGTAAGGGTGTGTGTACTGATGTAAGGGTGTGTGTACTGATGTAAGGGGGTGTGTACTGATGTAAGGGTTTGTGTACTGATGTAAGGGTGTGTGTACTGATGTAAGGTTGTGTGTACTGATGTAAGGGTGTGTGTACTGATGTAAGGGTGTGTGTACTGATGTTAAGGGTGTGGTACTGATGTAAGGGTGGTGTATGAGTGGTTGTGGTGGGAGGGTGTGTGTACTGATGTAAGGGGTTGTGTGTAGATGTAAGGGTGTGTGTACCGATGTAAGGGTGGTGGTATGATGTAAGGGTGTGGGTACTGATTTTAAGGGTGTGGTGTACTGATGTAAGGTTGTGTGTATGATGTAAGGGTGTGTACTGATGTAGGGTGTTGTGATGTAAGGGTGGGTGTACTGATGGTAAGGGGGTGTGTACTGATGTAAGGGGGGGCTGTGTGGTTTTGTACTGAGGTAAGGGTGTGTGGTCTGATGTAAGGGTGGTGTGTACTGATGTAGGGGTGGTGTAGGTTTTTTGGGTGTAAGGGGGTTGTTTGTATGTTGGGTGTGTGTACGATTGGGGTGTGTGTACTGATGTAGGGTGTGGTGTATGATTGTAAGGGTGTGTGTTACGATGTAGGTGTGTGTATGATGTAAGGGTGTGTGTCTAGTGTAAGGGTGGTGTGTACTGATGTAAGGGGTGTGTACTGATGTAGGGTGTTGTGTATGATGTAAGGGTTGTGTATGGTATTGTTATGTTGTGTGTACTTGATGTAAGTGTGTTGTGTACTGGGTAAAGGGTGTGGTACTGATGTAAGTTTTGTGTGTACTGATGTAAGGGTGGTGTCTGATGTAAGGGTGTGTGTACTGATGTAAGTGGGTTTTGTGTACTGATGTACGGGTGTGTACTGATTAAGGGTGTGTGTTGATAAGGTTTGTGTACTGATTGTAAGGGTGTGTACTGATGTAAGGGGGTGTATGAGAGGGGGTAGATAAGGGGTTGTGGAGATGTAAGGGTTGTGTTGATGTACAGGGTTTTGTACTGATGTAAGGGTTGTGTACTGATGTACACGGTTGGTGAACGATGAAGGGTGTGTGTACTGATAAGGTGGGTGTACTGCTGTAAGGGTTGGTGTAACTGATGTAAGGGTGGTGTACTGAGTAAGGTGGGTGTACTGATGTAAGGGTGTGGTACTGATGTAAGGGTGTGTTCTATTAAGGGTTGTGTACTATGTAAGGGTGTGTGTACTGATGTAAGGGGTGTGTACTGATTAAGGTTGTGTCATGATGTAAGGTATGTGTCTGATGTAAGGTGTGTATTGATGTAAGGGTGTGTGTTGATGTAAGGGTGTACTGATGTAAGGTTGTGTACTGATTTAAGGTTGTGTTTGTACTGATTGTAATTGTGTTATGATGTAGGGTGGTTTTAAAATGTGTTTTGGTATGTTGGGTGTGTTTTTGGGGTTTTACTTTAAGTTTTTCTGAGGGAAGGGGTACATAGGGTGTGTTTTTTTTACCGGTTTGGGTTATGATTTGGGGTTTGACTAGGGGTGTTTACTGGTTGTTGTGTTAGAGTTGTTTTGTACGGGGTTTTTTGTTGTTGTGTCGTTGGGGCTGATGAAGGTGTTGTGTAAAGGTGTTGGGTTTTGAGTGGTGTAATTAGGGAAGGGTTTTAAGCAATTTTAATAAACCCCGTGTGTCCCCTCCCCGGGGGCCGGGTTTTAAAGGGTGGCTTCCCCCCTTCCCCCCGAAGCAATTTAAGAGGCAAGACATAGGGTTGTGTTCCGTTGGTTTTGTTAACAGGGTGCTTTGGAATTGGAATTTTTTCTTAAACCCTCCCTACCATTTCCCTTTTGGCCCTTTTCGTGTTTAGGGAAGGGTAAAGGGGGAAGGGTTTTAGTGAAAGGTGAGTACAAGGGGAAAAAAAGAAAAAAGAAAAAAAAGGGGGGAAGGAAAAAAAAAAAAAAAACCCCCCAAAACTTTTTCCCACCCCCAAAAAACCCCCAAAAAAACACTCGCACGCATGCACGCACACACGCACGCACGCACCACGCACCAACCCACTCACACTCACACACACACACACACACACACACACACGCACACACACAGACATACAGACAGTCAGGGTTCGAGACTTTATCCTCGGCTCAAAGCTGAATGTAGTATAATCACAAAGGTGACCAAAGTGCTGAGTTATGAGAAAAATGTCAAAATATTCCCCTCTTCAAAAGAATCCCTCCCTCCCTCCTCCTCCTCTTCCTCTCTCTAAACATTCTGGTGATGTATTACCTTTCATCTTTTCCCATAGAGAAGGAGGAGGAGAAAGGGAGAAAGAGAGAGAGAGCGGGAGAGAGAGGGAGGAGAGAGGGTGATACAGCAGAGGAGAAAGCGAAGATGGTTTTCGTTTGGAGAACATAAGAATTTATCTCGAATTTTTAGAATGATAGAGAGACAGAAAGAAGGGACAGAGAATTTAAGGAAAGATTTATAGAGGAGAAAGGGTGGGAGTCCTAGTCAGCTACTGCAGTGTACTGACTGCTACTGCAGTAATCAATAGGCTGCACAATGATTATCATGCACCCTTCTCTTCCACTCCCTACTAGCACGTCTCAGCTGTTACCAGGCCGTGCCGTGGTTGTGTGTGTGTGTGTGCCGTGTGTGTGTCCCCCCACAAGAATAGTAAA